CTTTTTGTTTTGACTCTGCAGCATTTAAGAGACTCATTTGCTGCTTTTGCTGCTGTCTCTTATGCAGCAAACACTTGTGGCTCGCCGCCGTTGCTGCAGCGGAGGGATCGGCTCCCCAAGCAGCAGCAGTAGCAGCAGCAGCAGCAGCAGCAGCAGCAGCAGCCGAAACAAAGGCACGGAAGCGAGACTCCAGCTTCCCCCGCAGCATTCACCAGCAACAACAACGGAAGCGGCAGCAGTAGCAGCAGCAGCAGCAGCAGTGGCAGCAGCAGCAGTAGCGACAGCAGCAGCAGCAGCAGCAGCAGCAGCAGCAGCAGGCTAGAATGCAAGCCAGCAGCTGGGGAGCCGCCACAGCGGCTGCATTCAGACGAGGAGACGAAGCTTCTGCAGTGGCCCTGCTGCAGTCTCTTCTCGACACGCTTCAGCAGCAGCAGCCGCAGCAGCAGCCGCAGCAGCAGCAGCAGCAGCAGCAGCAGCAACAGCAACAGGCAAGGCTTGGAAGCTTAGGGGACTTAGTGGCTCCCATAAATTTCGCTGTTAGGACTCTGGAGGCCGCAGTGGCCCCCGCTGGCTTGCCAACAGCAGCAGCAGCAGCAGCAGCAACAGAAGCAAACTGCTGCTGCTTCTGCTGCTGCTGCAGCGGCTGCTTTGCTGCTGCTCATTGCTGCTGCCCGCGGCCTTCCTGCCCACGCACACGTGGGGAGCCCCCAGGGGCCCCCGCCTTAGAAGATCTAGGCCATCGGTTTGCTGCTGCTGCTGGGCACTCTGCTGCTGCAGTGTGCCTAGCAGCAGCAGCAAACCAGAGAACTCTGCAGCAGCCGCTGCTGTGGCTGTCCCTAGCAGCAGCAGCACATACGTTCAACCTGCCATCTACGGGGCCTCTGCTGCAACGCGCAGCGGAAGCTGCCCTGAAGCAGCAGAAGCAGCAGCAGCAGCTGAGGCAGCAGCAGCTGCTGCAGCAGCAACAACAGCAGCAGCAGCAGCAGCAGCAAAATTGCGCGGAAGACTCTCCAGATGACTGGCAGTGCGCGGTTAGCTTGCAGCGCCTTTTCCTTGCTGTTCAGAGACTTGCTGCTGCTGCTGCTGCTGCTGCTGCTGCTGCTGCTGCTGGGGAAAAAGAGGAATTTAAGGCCGCTGGGAGGTTCTGCTGCTGCAGCAGCACGCGGGTAGACTGCAGCAAAAAGGATAACGCCGCTGCAGCTGCTGCGGAGGGGCTGCTGCTGCTGCTGCCCGTGCTGCTGCTGCTCGTAGAAGCTGCTGCTCGTACTGCTGCCTTTCTCCCTGCAGCTGCCTGCGCAGGAACTGCTCTGCTGCAGTTCTTGCTGCAGCAGCAGCAACGCCGCCTACTCTACCTCCAGCAGCAGCAGCAACAGCAGCAGCCGCAGCAGCAGCAGCAGAAAGAGATAGATATAGAGCTGCTGCGCTGCGGGCTAAGTGCCCGCCGCACGGCGCTTCATCTTTTGCTGCAGCTCCTGGGGGCTGCTGCTGCTGCAGAAAGTCAAGGCAAGCGGCAGCAGCAGCAGCAGCAGCAGCAGCACTTGTTGCTGCAGCAGCACAAACAAGGGGAGTATGAGGTTGCAGCAGCTAACTGCAGCGGCAGCCTTTGCTGCTGCTCTTTTGCTGCGGCGCAGCAGCTGCTGCTGCTGCTCCTCAAGCTCGCTGCCGCTACAGCCCTAACCAGCGCTCAGCGACAGCAGCAGCAGCACCAACTGCAGCAGCAGCACCAACTGCAGCAGCAGCAGCAGCAGCAGCAGCAGCAGCAACAACAACAACAGCAAATCACTATCAACGGGATTCTGTGGGGTGCCCCTCTTCTAACAGAAGTTGCGGCGCTCTCCCGCCGCTTCTGCAGCAGCCTGAGAGCAGCAGCAGCAGGTGACCAACCTGCAGCAGCAGCAGCAGCAGCAGCTGCTGCTGCTGCTGCAGTGCAGAACCTAGAGGCAGACCCAATTTTGCTGCAGCCGCCCTTTGGCTCCAAGGGGGCCCCTGTGGGGGGCCTCCCTTGGGGGCCCTTCTCCTGGCGCAGCAGATTGCTGCTGCAGCGGCAGCAGCAGCAGCAGCAGCAGCAGCAGCAGATACAGCAACTGCTGGAGAGCCTAGTGGAGGCGTTTTGCTCTGAGTCTCCAGCTGCACCGTGCCACCAGAACTTGCAGCAGCAGCAGCAACAACAGCAGCAGCAGCTACAGCAACAACAGCAGCAGCTACAACAGCAGCAGCAGCAGCAGCAAGATGTAACACTTTGCTGTCCCTCCTGCAGGCCAATTTTGGCAGCAGCAACTCTCTACTTCTGCTGCAGCACAATAACAGCACTGCCTCAATTGGGGCTGAGAGTGAGACAAAAGCCAGCAGCAGCAACAGCAGCAGCAGCTGCTGCTGCTGCAGCAGCATGGCTGCCATTACCCTTTCTCAGGGGCCCCAAAGGGCCCCCTGAGGCCCCAGGGGCCCCCCTGCTGCTCTTGAGGATTCTTAAGGCGCTGCCAGTGGTCGACTGCTGCGCACCAAACCCCAGCAGCAGCAGCAGCAGCAGCAGCAGCAGCAGCAGCAGCAGCAGCAGCAGCAGGGTGTGGGGCCACGCTGTGGGGCTGTGGGCCTTCGCTATTCGTGCTGCTGCTGCTGGGGCCCTTCAGCTGCTAAGCCCCAAAGAGAGGCAGCAAATAGCGGAGGCTCTTGCTGCAGGAGTTGCAGACTGGCTGCTGCTGCCGCCGCTGCATGCGCTCAATTGCGTCAGCACGCAGCAGCAGCAGCAGCAGCAGGAACGGCAGCAGCAGCAGCAGGAACGGCAGCAGCAGCAGCAGATGTCGCTGCTGCCGTATAATGCACAGCACAAGCAAATGCGCGCCCTCTGGGAGCAGCAAAGGGAACCACAGCACTCTGCTACACCTCTAGCTGCAGCAGCAGCAGCAGCAGCTGCTGCTGCTGCTGCTGCTGCTGCTACCCGCGCGTGCCGTCTTATGCGCTTGTCCCCCATTACACCTTTGCTAGGCCTTGCAGCACGGCAGGTGGGGATTGCTGCAGCAGCAGAGTTGTCTGCTGCGGCAGCAGCTGCTGCTGCAGCAACACCTGCTGCTGCAGCAGCAACTGCTGCTGCAGCGCGACAGTTGCAGACACAAAACAGCAGCAGCAGCAGCAGCAGTATTTGCAGTCGGGTGTACTGGTTTGGCTTCTGCCTGCATGCAGCGTGGATTCAGAAGGAGGCTCTGTCTGCTGCCGTTGCAGCAGCAGCTGCTGCTGCTCCTGCACGTGCTGCTGCTGCTTCGAGTGCTCCTGCCGCAGCAAAAGCTGCTGCTGCTGCTGCTGTCAGGGAGGCAACGTTGCTGCTGCGGCTTTGCGCCATATTTGCTGCTGCTTCTCTTCGCTCCTGTCTCCTTTCGGTTCAAATGTCCCTTCCGTTTGCTTCGCAGCAGCAGCAGCAGGGACAGCTGCAGCAGCAAGAACAGCAGCAGGAGCAGCAGCTGCAGCAGCAAATGCAGCAGCAGCAACAGCAGCAGCAACAGCTGCAGGGCCGATGGGGGCGTGTCCTTGGCGCTGCTGTGTACGTACACCTGGCAGTGCCCGCAGAAGCAGCAGCAGAAGCAGCAGCGCTGCTGCCGTCTTTGCTGCTGCTGGCAGCAGATGCTGCTGCTTCTGTCTCTTTCTTAAAGAAGATCCTGCGGAGCTTTGCTGCAGCGTGTGTGACCGGCACGTGCATGCACCATGCTGCCTCAGCTAGCAGCAGCAGCGGCAGCAGCAGCAACAGCAGCAGCAACAGCAGCAACAGCAGCAGCAGCAGTGTTGCAGTTATGGAAGCACACTTGCTGCAGAGCGGCTGCATTGTTGGGACCTACCCGGACCGAGCAGCAGCAGCAGCAGTAGCAGCAGCAGCAGCAGCAGCCTCTGCTGTTGTTGGTGCTGCTGCTGCCGCAAGAACGGCAGCAGCAGCAGAGGCTGCAATTTCCCGCCTAGTGCTGCTGCTGCAAGCCCTGGCGACTGCTCCGCAGCCGCTATTGCTGCTGCTGCCACAAGCAGCAGCACAGCTGCAGCTGCTGCTGCTGCTGTCGCGGGCTCTATACCTAGCAGCATTACCAACTGCAGCAGAAGCGTTTGCTGCAGCGGCTCATTGCTGCTGCTGCTGCTGCTGCAAGCACTGCCGTGCTGCCGTGGAGGCCGTGGGTGCCCCCTTCGCAGCGCCATTGCTGGCAAGCAGCAGCAGCAGCAGCAGCAGAAGCAGCAGCAGCAGCAGCAGCAGCAGCATGAACTCCTTCTGCTGTCAGCTGCGTTTTGTATTCAACGAAGCAAATAATTGGAGCCCCTTGTTGCAGTGGGCCCCCGACAAACCCCGCAGTCACCGAGCAGCAGCAGCAGCAACAGCAGCAGCAGCAGCAGCAACAGCAACAGCAACAGCAGCAGCAGCAGCAGCAGGGGATGCAGGGACAGATGATAGGGGAAGGAGCTGTAGTGAGGTAGGAGCAGCCAAAGAGAGACAGCAGCAGGAGCAGCAGCAGCAGAGGTGGCAGCAATTGCAGCAAAGTTTGTGCAACTTTGCTGCTTCCCTGCTGCTGCAGTGCTGCTTCGTTGGCGGGACCCACGGGTGAGATTCTGCTGCTGCTGCTCTTACTGCTGCTGCTGCTGCTGCTGCTGCTGCTGTGTCCTCTCTCCCGTAGAAGGCTGGCAGCAGCTATTATCAGAAGGTGCAGTCTGCAGTTTGCTGCTGCAAACATGCGTTGCTGCAGCATTGCTTTGACAGCGCGGCTGCTGCCGGGGGGCTTAGCAGCAGCAGCAGCAGCAGCAGCAGCTGCTGCTGCTGCTCAGGGACAGAAAGTTGGGGCCCCTTATGAGCTGCTGCGGGAGTTTGCCCGGCGCTCGCAGCTGCTGGGAGTCCCTTCGCCGCTGCTGCCGCAGCAGCAGCAGCAGCAGCAGCAGAAGCAAGGGCAGGAGCTGCAGCGCCTGCTGTGGACTGCTTTGCTGCAGCAAGTAGAGACCGAGGCAGCAGCAGCAGCAGCAACAGCAGCAGCAGCAAAACGGAGAGGCAGCACTCAAGAACTCCTTGCTGCTGTGCAACGCAGGCAGCAGCAGCAGGCTATCGACTCAGTCAACTTTCTTGCTGCCCCCCTTCCAGTCCGCCACTTTTGCTGCTGCAGTTGCTGCTGTTTATGCTGCTGCTGCTGCTGCTGCTGCTGCTGCTACTGTCGCTCTTTCTGCTGCTGCTTTTGTTGCTGTTACTCTTGATGCTGCTACTGTTGCGTGTGCTGCGGTGACTATGGCAGTCGCTGCTGCCACTTGTTTTGCTGCTGCTGCTGCTGTTGCTGCTGCTGCTTGTGTTGCTGCTACTGTTGCTTTTGCTGCTACTGCTGCTGACGCTGTTTGAGGCACACCTTTCCATTCAGCATTAGGCCGTTGCTTTTGTTGCTGCTGCTGCTGCTGCTGCTGCTGCTGCTGCTGCTGCAGTTTTTGTGCAGCGGGGGCTTCGAGGTGCTGCAGCAGCAGCTGGGGCCCCTTCTTGCTGCTCATCAATATCTACGAGAGCCCGCACTAGCACTTCTGTCAGACAGGTATATCTGTTGCTGTTGCTGCTGCTGCTGCTGCTGCTGCTGTTATTGTTGCTGCAGCTTCTGCTGCTTCTACTGCCGCTGCTGCTGCCTTTGGGATTGGCTTGTTCCTGCTGCTGTTGCTGCTGCTGCTGTTGCTGCGGTAGCCGCTGTTTTTGCTGCTGCTGCAGCACCGCCATTTGCTTCCTTCCTTTACAGTTGCTGCTCCACTGCAACAGCACCAGCTGCTGCTCCTGTTGCTGCTGCTGCTGCTGCTGCTGCTGCTGCTGCTGCTGCTGCAGGCTGCCTCACGAGTTCGCGTCAGCTGTCTTTACAGCTCTCGAACAAACCCCACAACTCAGGGGGCCCCCCCGCTGCCCTCCGCCCCTCAGCAGACTTTAAACAAAAGTTGGGGGGCCCCTTCTCCAAGTTAGGAGCTCTTTGGGGGCCCTAAAGGGGCCCCTTGGGGGCCCTAAAGGGGCCCCTTGGGGGCCCTAAAGGGGCCCCTTGGGGGCCCTAAAGGGGCCCCTCGGGGGCCCTAAAGGGGCCCCTCGGGGCCCCTTGAAGGATTTTAGACGCCCTGAAGAGGTCCCCTCGAGGCCCTTTCCTGGGGGGCCCCAAAGGGCCCCTTACAGGGTCCTTTTTTTCCATCTAAAGGCCTTTCCGGGGGCCCCCAAGAGCGGCTAAGGGGCCCCCAAGGCGCCCCCAAAGGGCCCCCAAGGCATCCCTAAAAGATTGACTATAGGACCCCGTCAGATCTGTCACGGGGGCCCCTATGGGGGCCCCTATGGGGGCTTTCTATGGGGGCCCCTATGGGGGCCCTATGGGGGCCCCTGTGGGGGCCCCCTAGTACCCGTAAAGTCCGATAGGGTTGCCCCATTTAAGGAGCTTCAGAGAGTGTTAGGGGGCCCCATTTTGGGGCCCTTTTGGGGCTCCAAAGGGGGCCCCCTCTGAGGCTTGGGGCCCCCAGGAATCCCCTTGGGGGCCCCCAAAGACTGCCAAAGGGGCCCCCTGACTGGGAGCCCTTCTGGGGACTTCCAAAAGAACTCAAATGACAGCCACGCGGCTCCTTTGGGGGCCCACTAGGGGCCCCCTTGAGGGCCTTCCTGAGGGCCCCCAGAGGGCCCTTGGGAGGCCCCCCAGGGGCCTCTAGGGGGCCCCTAGGGGGCCCCCAAGGGGTCTTTTAATAGCCGCTCCCGAGGGGCCCCCACAGGTCCCCCTGGGGCCCCTCAGTGCACGGGGGCCCCTCATAAAGCTCTTTTTAGGGCCTCCATAAGAACCAAGTGGGGCCCCTGGGGGCCCCCAAAAGGGCCCCCAAATCGCTCCCCAAAGGCGCATCAAGGGGCCCCCCATGGGGCCCTCAATGCAGGGGGGCCCCCTTGGGGGCCCCATAAGACAAACTCTTGAACTACCGCACGGGGGCCCCTTGGGGGCCCCTTAGGTACCCCCTGGGGGCCCCTTGTGCTGCAGGGGGTCTCTGGTTGCCCCTGGCAGCCGCAGCGCTGCAGCAGCAGCAGAAGTAGCAGCAGCAGCAGCAGCAGCAGCAGCAGCAGCACTGTGGCGTAAAACCCGCCGCTGCACGATTTGTTTCAAGAGAGTTGAAATGGAATAAAGTTTATTTAATTAAAGCCGTTTTGTCAAAAGAACAAAACAATCGAAATCAAGTCTTCTTTCTCCTTTCTGGCCCCACACGCTGATGGCCTCCACGGCACAAAAACCCTAAACCCTAAACCCTAAACCCTCGACTGCCCCGGGCCCCGCCGGGCCCGCACTTGCGTGCATTTTCCCGCGTCGAGGGTTTAGGGTTTGGAGGCCGCGGGCGGAGTAGGGTTTGGGGTTGGGGCTCGTGCCCTTTAGGAATTAGGGTTTAGGGTTTAGGGTTTAGGGTTTAGTTTTTCGTCATAGATTTGCCCGCCTTCAACACCTCGTCCACCAGCAGCAGCTGCTGCGCCAGCGTGGGCGCCAGCGAAAGCATTTGTCTCTTCACTTTGTAGTTGTCCCAAATGCCTGAAAACAAACACAGCTAGCTACCCCTTAGCTAGCTAGCTAGCTAGCTAGCTAGCTAGTAGACTAGCTAGCTAGTAGACTAGCTGGCTAACTAGCTAACTAGCTAGCTAGCTAGTAGACTAGCTAGCTAGTATGGCTGGGTAGCAGACTCGCTGCGTAGCTAGCTAGCTAGCTAGTAGACTGGCTGGCTAGCTAGCTGGCTCCAGCTAGCTGGCGGCTTTGCCGGCTAGCTAGCTACCTCGCTAGCTCCCCCGCTATCTAGCTAGGTAGCTAGCTGGGGAGCTAGCGAGGAACTAGCCAGCTAGCTAGCTAGCTAGCTAGCTAGTTCCCCAGCTAGCTCGCTCCCCAGCTGCCCAGCTAGCTGCCCAGCTAGCTACCTCCCCAGCCAGCTGCGCAGCTAGCCAGCCAGCTGCGCAGCTAGCCAGCTAGCCAGCTAGCTAGCCAGCTAGCCAGCTAGCCACGCACCCTCGAGCGCGGGCGAGTTGGGCTTGCCCGAGTCCAAATCCAAGCCAGCTAGCTGCTGCGAAGTCTGGTGTTTGTCCAGAAGAGTCAAAAGGACTTGGTAAACATCCAAGCCGCTGTTTTCCGCCAGAGTCTTCGGAATGACCAGCAGCGCGTCCGCAAAGGCTGCCACTCCCAGCTTGGCCTTCCCGCTCACCTCCCGCTTGTAGTCCTGCGCAGCAGCAGCAGCAGCAGCAGCAGCAGCAGCAGCAGCGGCGGCGGCGGTGCGGCGGGGTGCAGCAGCAGCGGGGGGAGGACGGGGAGCAGCAGCAGCAAAGGGCGGAGCCAGTGCAGCAGCAGCAGCAGCGGGGAGGATGAGGCGCAGGGGAGGCAGCAGCAGCAGTGGTTGGTGCAGCAGCAGCAGCAGCAGCAGCAGCAGCAGCAGCAGCAGCAAGAGAAAAGCAAACAAGGACCAAAAAGAAGAAAACAGAAAGTGCAAAAAGAATTAAAAGAAGATCTGAAGACTGTTTCAAAGGAGTTTAAAAAAAGGAAAAAAGGGAAAAAAACCAAAAAGGGTTTAAAAGATATTTGAGGCCTCAAAAAGGGTTTGGAGGAGTTTTAAAAAGCCGAAAAAAAATCAAAAGAAACCCTGAAGAGCCTGAGGTGAATTCGAGGATAAAAGGGGCTTAAAAAGGGTTTAAAAGAGCATTTAAATGCCAAAAAAAGCAAAAAAAAAACAAAAAAAAATAAAAAAAAGAAAAATTTTCACCTGAAGTCTGCAGTAAGCCGCCACTTCAAAAGCCCCCGCGCCCGGAATTACAGCGCCGTCGTCGATGACGTTTTTGATGGCGCGCAGGCCGTCTCTAATTGCATCTTTCACCTAAAAAGTTGAAAAAAAAGAGACTGGAAGTGGAAATAAATGGACTAATTGGCCAATAAATCATTTAATCAAATAACCAATTAATAAGCAATCATTTATTGTTTCAAATCTGTAATTTGTAGCTTTCAATTTGCTTTTTTTGTTGTTATTTTGTGACTTTTGGCCCCTAGGCCGTCTTTAATTGCGTCTTTTACCTTAAAAACTAGAAACGACATTAAAAATGGGAATAAATGGACTAATTGGCCAATAAATCATTTAATTAATTCATCAATTAATAATTAATCATTTCTGATTCCAAATATGTAATTTATAATTCTTAATTTGCGCTTTTGGGGGCTATTTGGGGATTCTTTACTCTTCATACATGGCGAATTGCATCTTCTAATTACAAAATGCAAAAACGAATTATAAATGGAAATAAGTACACTAACTGGCTAATAAACCATTTAATTAATCCATTAATTAATAATTAATCATTTCTGATTTTTAATCTGTAATTTATAATTCTTAATTTGCGTTTTTCGGTATTATTTGCTCACATATTCAATCTTTAACCCTAAAATGGCAAAAATGGCACTAAAGATATAAATACATAAATGAACGAAATAATTGATCTAATTTGATTAATAAATTAATTAATTGAATTAATTAATTAATTGTATTAATTAATTAATAGAATTAATTAATTAAATTAATTAACTGAATTAATTAATTGAATTAATTAATTGATAGGATTAATTAATTGACTAGTTAATTAATTGATGCTAATTAGACAAAGAAATTAGTGAACCCCAAACACAAACCCCAAGCGCAGACCCTAACCCCAAACCCTAACCCCAAACCCTAAACCCTAAACCCTAAACCCTAAACCCTCACGCGCGCCACTGCGTGGTCGTTGGGCCCCTTGATGAGGATGGTGCAGCTTCTGGGGTTTTGGACTCCGTCGATAAAAGTGAATTTGTCATCTCCGAGGGACTGTTCGTACACCTCAGCAGCAAATCCCAAGTCCTCCACTCGCAAGTCTTCCACAGAATTCACTGCGCTGCCTCCGCAGCAAAGCGGGACTCGTTCCATGTTGCGGCGCTTCACCTGCAGCAGCAACCAACACGCTGCTGCTGCTGCTGCTGCTGCTGCTGCTGCTGCTGCTGCTGCTGCGCTGCAGCGGGCG